CCATTTGCTGGTCTCTGATAGGAGTACAAGATGGTGGATCCACGCTGCTTTAGCTGATAGGGGACCTCTGCATGAATCTCTCCTCGCTCTCCATTCTCTGTCAGTTTTCTCACTCCATTTGGTGCTTGGCTGATTTCTTTATCTCTTCATTTGATGTTTTAAGGTTTCAGGATTGTTGTTTTCTCTGTTCGGCTTCGTTTTTCGGATCTTTGCTGTGGAGGGACGGCGTGGTACTTCTGCCTAGAGCGCCATTTTGCTGGAAGTCCTCAGTATGTACTCTTTTTTAGTCTGGCTTCTTTCATTCAGCAAAATTATTTTGAGATTTGCTGATTCTGTTGCATATGTCAATAGTTCATTCCTTTGAATTGCTGAGTAGTACCCTGGTGGTGCAGTGGTTAAGCATTCAGCTGCTAACCAAAAGGTTGGAAGATTGAATCCACCAGCTGCTCCTTGGAAGCCCTATGGGGCAGTTCTACTCTGTCCTATAGGGTTGCTATGAGTCGGAATTGACTCGACGGCAGTCGGTTTTGTTGCAGTTTATTTATCCATTCTGTTGTTGATGCTGAAGAACTGTTAAATGCTTCTGAGAAGATGAGTGATGAGATCTAATCGGTTCTTTGACAATGATAATCCTGTGGTCTGATACAGGATGTATTGAAGCTGCAGGAATTCAGAAATAGAGAAACCAGAGAGGAGGCAACTTGTGTTTTAGGGATAAAGCAATAAGGTCCTGAAATCCCATGATGATGGTTAGAATGGAAAGAGCACTTGTTGTGGAAGGACTAAGAATGATTTGTGGTTCTGGAGGAAGTGATGGGAGCCCTGGTGGCGCAGTGGTTAAGAGCTTGGCTGCTAACCAAAAGATCGGTAGTTTGAATCCACCAGCCACCCCTTGGAAATCCTATGGGGCAGTTCTATTCTGTCCTATAGGGTCAGTATGAGTCGGAATCGACTGAATGGCAACGGATTTAGGAAGTGATAGTGCTAAATGAAAATATTTGAATCTGGATCCTGATATAAAATCCACAGTTGTGAACTCCATCAATTAAGTCAATTAAGTTAAGGTTTAGTTAAGGTTTGGTGCAAGCAACAGAAGTGAGCTCTGAGTAACTTAAGCCAAAGGGAGTGGGGGCTTCAAGAGCTGGCAGTCTGTGGGAATGTGGGCTGCTCCGGAGGGCAGGAGAGCAGAAGTCATTCCTTGATAGGAACAGGCAGGGCTGGGGCGCCAGGCCTGGGCAATCAAGCTCTGGTGATATTTAGTCTCTAATACTCTGCTCAGAATCAAAGTAGCAGCAGCGGGAGGTCTGACTGGCCTCGCACAGGTCACATATCCACCATGGCCAGGAGAGAGGGCACCGATCAAAGTCCCAGCAAACTATCCAGTAGGGAAGAGGTCATCCCTCAAAGAAATCCCGAGAACCCTAAGAAAGAAAAAAGGGGTATAACAACCCCCCTATAAAGGCTTGGAAACTTTGATCACTTCTGACTTGAGTTCCTTTAATAAAGACATAACCCATTGCCTAAAGCAGTAACTAACTTTGTAGGTAAGTTATAAACACAATGTTATCATTGCCTGTTTGTCTTTCTTTACTCCTGAAGTGACTTTCGAACTCAGAAAAATTCATGATTTTCTCTCCCCCATTGGGGGAAAGTAATTAGTTTCGCAGACGTCCTCCAAAGTAACACAAGAGGAGTGATTTGTACCCAGGTCTAGGTGAAGGGAATATCATGTGAGGAAAGAATGATTACATATTCAGGCTGGAAGTGCATAAAAGAAAGGTGGTCTCCTGCACTCACCAGCTAATGCAAAGCAGGTCTAGATCTTCCTTTATAATTCAGCAATGAAGGGTAGGTGGAGATTCCAAATTTTTCAGTTGGTCCCTCAAAACCAATGATTTTAATGTCAACGTGTGGATTTCTAAAACCCGACCTCTGAGAAACTTCTGTATATTTTTAAGGAGAATCTGACTTAGATATCTGTTCCTCCAACTTTGATATCTCTTTCTCTGGAAGAACCTTAAGTTTTCCCTGATGGGTCACTGATGAAGTTTGTAGTTCTTTGTGCTTCCTCAGATGTAGACTAGGCTCCTTGTTATGTGTTCTAGGGCGGAGTTAATATATGGTACTATGGGATCCAGGACTATGACAAAAACAATGCTCGAGTGCACCTTGTGATGGAGAAGGGAGACACCGTTTTCTTTCATCCTCTGCTCATCCACGGATCTGGTCGGAACAAAACCCAAGGATTCCGGAAGGTATGTGTTAACATTGCTGCACTTTTCAAAGGTGAATGTGGTTAGATACAAACATTTAAAATATATTAATATATAAAAGATCTGTAAAATTTTAGCTAAACTAGACTTTAGTCTATTTTATTTACCAGGAAACTTATTTACCTACCTCGTGCTTTTTTGCTCTTATCAGTAAGAACCAGGTTACCTCAGAATGCTATTGATTCTGAGTCATGAATATTCCTGAAATTGCTTGAGAAAAAAATGGCTTACTTTCTTTGTGGCTGACAGTTGGTGCTTTCTAAGGCAAAAATAATGGCTGAAATACTAAAATAATAAAATTTAGAGTTTACAGAACTCACAGTAACATAATAAGAGGAAAGTTTATATTATCTTTGCTATTGGGGAAAAAATATTATTGATCCAAAACAAAGTTTATGGATTGGAAGCCCAGAAATCAGATTTTGCATGCAGACTTTTTTTTTTTTTTTAATCCTCTAGCATCAAAGTGTTTTAAATTTAAAAAATTCCTTATTTACAATTTAAAATTGACAAAATTTCTTATAAGTATCCACATTTCTTGCTTCTCTGAAATTCAGAAGATCTGACAGTACTCTGGGCTCACATTTCCCCATAGAAAGATGATTGTTGATATTAAATCTTGGGAGCTCTTTTGAGACTCAGTGAGGCTTTCTAGTTTGCCACACAGTTCCCACAAATCCCTGATGTCTCCTCAAGTCCCAGGGTAAAGTGCTATAATTTCATCTTGCATTCATTCATCTGTCCTTTAGGCTCACCAGGGCCAGGATTAGGGTGAGGCAAGTGAGGCACTTGTCTCAAGTGCAAAATTTAAGGAGGTGTCAAAAAACCCAGTAATCAAGATAAATACTATTTTAATGCAATATTTAAAAATCAAAATTAATGCCAAACCCATGATACACAAACTACTAAAATTTTCAGTAAAGTCAGGCTCCAACCCTGTACTTGCAGGACCTCAGAACCATGGATGAAGGGACTGTAGGTGGGGTGGCAAACACAACACTATAAATAATTTTGTGAGTTTTAATGTACTAACTTTTTTATTTTAAAACATTTTTTTCAAATACTTTAATATTCTGGAAAAACCATTAAAAATACATTAAAACATATATATAGGAGTGCACATTTTCAGGCTCCACTATGGCTCATCAAGGCACTGGAGGTTACGTAGGAAATGGAGTTTGTGACTTCAGTGCTCTAGATATTTGATGTTTTGGCAAAGTAGAAAGCCCTTCTGACAGGTGTGATCACATTAAAATAACTAACTTGTTACTAGGAAGGTGAATTTTAATCACTGCCTTGTAGTATAGATGTGTTTATACCTTTTTCAAGAGTAGGAGGAGTCAAGTAACTTGGGCCTTGCCCCTAGAAGGAAACAGTAAGTATTATATTTCAACGTGTTAGGTTTTAATTGTCCTTTTGACTTGAGAGGAGGTGTGTGTATTATTTTCTTTCTCAAAGTATTTTCAGATATTTTCATAATCTATTGCCATTGAAATAACAACTCATCATAAATCTGACTGGGTAACTAATTTTGTGACTAAGAAAATGATGAACCACCATGGAATACATTTATTTTTAGGACTTTGGGACGACTGCTCATTAGAAAAATCAAATGCTAAAAAAATAAGGATCTCTTAGTTATCTCTCTGCCCTGAATATATCTTAAAAAAATTTTTTTTTCTGAATACACTTTTTGAAAAGAATTTCACAGCTAGTTAAAAACTGCTTGTAATTTCTCAATTATCTTTTAGCTGGAAAAAAAGAGACTGAACTACAAAGAGACTGATTAGGATACAGTGGAACAGACTTTTAATTTAGAAATCAAATATTGAATTAAATAATTGACTTTCCACATAAAGACTACTTTGTTGATTGCCGGTATTAATGGGATTTTTTTCCCCGATATTAATTGGTTCACTTTGTGCAGGCAATTTCCTGCCATTACGCCAGTGCCGACAGCTACTACATCAATGTGAGGGGCACCAGTCAAGAAAACATTGAGAAAGAAGTCCTAAAACTATTAAGTAGACAATATGGAATGAAAGAGAATGCTGTCACCCTGAAGGTATGTTTGTATGAAATGAAAAGGTGAAGTTCTCAGTTATTAAGCATCTTTTCTGCAGAGAATAATTCTATAATTATTCTCATACCTAATTTAATTTGAAAGTAGAAAGTGATTATTCCCTTGAGTGTCGAGCTCATTTCAGAAAGGTTGCTGAGACTCACTAAGAATGACAGCGGATTTCAATTTGTACTTGCTTCCCCAGTGCAGGGGACTTGACAGCTTCATGTTCCTTCTGTACATTTGGGGGTTGTCGTGTGGAATACAGACAGCCTTGTTCCAGACAGAACAGGTAAGAAAATAAAAAGGAAACATTTAGATAAGAGGAAAGGCTATCTGAAGGCACTATAGGCTATCTGAAGGCACAGAAGGAAAGTGAAAGTTTATCAAACATAAGCCTCCTTTGTTCGTATAGGATAGAGTATGCATTAGGAAATCCACTAAGACTTCCTGGAAAGCAATTCTTGAACAAGTTTTTGTTTTGGTAAGTTTGCAGCTGGAGTTTTATAAGAGTCATAGATTGCAAGTAGCAGAGATTAAAGATCACTAATGCTTATTGATGGTGGGGGGGCATGAGATAATATTTCACATGCTTTTCTAATTAATACACATCACTTGTAAAATGTTTATATTCAATGAATGCTGCTAATGATCAGTAAACCTGTTGCCATCGAGTCAATTCCGATTCATAGTGACTGTATAGGACAGAGTAGAACTGTCCCCTAGGATTTCCAAGGAGTGGCTGGTGGATTTGAACTACTGACCTTTTGGTTAGCAGATGAGCTCTTAACCACTATGCCACCAAGGCTCCAATGGTCAATAAACAAATTGTTAATCAAGACAAAGAAAGAACGTATTCACTTGTTCATGGTAACCACTAAGAAAATATATAATAAACATACACAAAAGGAAAAGAGGGAACCAAAAGGGCTCACTACAATAAACCAATAAAACATAAAAGCAAACAGTAGTAAAGAAAAAAGAAAGCTTAAGACACACAAAAAACAAATAATAAAATGGCAGAAGTGTAAGTTACTTCTTATCAGTGATTACAGTGAATGTAAATGGACTAAATGCTCCAATCAAAAGGCAGATAGTAGCAGAATGGATAAAAAAACATTATCCAGCTATACGCTGTTTACAAGAGACACACCTTGAACCCAAGGACACAAATAGGTTGAAAGTGAAAGGATGGAAGAAAAAACTCCATGCACATAATAACCAAAAGAGAGCTGGAGTGGCGATCTTAATATCAGACAAAGTAACCTTTAAGACAAAATCTGTTAGAAGAGATAAAGATGGACATTATATAGTGATAAAAGGGTCAATTAATCAAGAAGATTTAACAATCATAAATACATATGCACCCAACATCGGGGCACCTAAATATATAAAGCAAACACTGATAGAGTTGAAGGGAAAAACCAAAAAAAACCTAAAAACCAAACCCATTGCTATTGAGTCGATTCCAACTCATAGCGACCCTATAGGACAGAGTAGAACTGCCTCATAAGGTTTCCAAGGAGTGGCTGGTGGATTCGAACTGCTGACCTTTTGGTTAGCAGCTGAGCTCTTAACCAGCAAGTAGTACAACAATAGTTGCAGACTTCAATATTGCACTTTCAATATTGGACAGACAACCTAGAAAGAAGATTAACAAGAAAACAGAGGATTTGAATGACACTATAAACCAACTAGACTTAACAGACATATATAGAGCACTCCACCCAGAAACAGCACAATATACATTCTACTCCAGTGCACATGGATCATTCTCCAGGATAGACCACATGTTAGGTCACAAAGCAAGTCTTAATAAATTTTGAAAAGATTGAAATCATACAAAGTCTTTTCTCTGACCATCACAGAGTTGTCTTAGTTATCTAGTGCTGCTATAACAGAAATACCACAAATAGGTGGCTTTAACAAACAGAAATCTATTTTCTCACAGTTAGGAGGCTAGAAGTGTGAATTCAGGATGCCAGCTGTAGGGGAAGGCTTTCTCTGTCAGTTCTGGAGGAAGGTCCTTGTCTCTTTTCAGCTTCTGCCCCTGGGAAGTATTCATGTGGCTTGGCATCTTTCTTTAGTCATCTCTGCTTCTTTTGCTTGCTTGTTTAATCTCTTTTATATCTCAACAGAGCTTAATTTAAGACACACCCTACACTAATCCTATTCTATTAACACAGCAAAGACAACTCATTCCCAAATGGGATTATAACTGCAGGCATAGAGGTTAGGATTTACAACACATATTCAATTCAATTCATACACAGTTAAATCCTTAACAGGAGTGAAGGTAGAAATAAAAACAGGAAAAAACCCTAGAAAATACACAAACATATGGAAATTAAACAACACACTATTAAACTACCAATGGATCAAGGAAGAAATCAAAAGAGAAATTACAATTCCTCTAGAGCCAAATGAAAATGAAAGCACAACATACCAAAATTTATGGGATGCAGCAAAGGCAGTACTCGGGGAAATTCATAGCAATAAATGCCTACATGAAGAAAGAAGCAAGATCTCAAATCAACAGCCTAACTCGACAACTCCAGGAACTAGAAAGAGAAGAGCAAACTAAGCTTCAACCTACCAGAAGAAAGGAAATAACAAAGATCAGAGAGGAAATAAATAAAATTGAAAGCAGAAAAAACAATAGAATCAATAAAACCAGAAGTTCTTTGAAAAGATCAATAAAATTGACAAACCTTGAGCTAAACTGACAAAGAAGAGAAAAGATGTGAATAACCAAAATAAAAAATGACAGAGGGGACATTACAACTGACTTGATAGAAATAAAGAGAATTATGACAGAATATTATGAACAACTGTATGGCAACAACCCAAATAACCTAGATGAAACAGACAAATTCTTAGAAGCACACAACCTACCAAAATGACTCAAAAAGAAATAGAAAGTCTCAACAGACCCATAACAAGTGAAGAGATCACATCAGTGACCAAAAACCTCCCAATAAAGAAGAGTCCTCGACCAAATGGCTTCACTGGGGAATTCTACCAAACATTTAGAGAATAATTGACACCAATACTGTTTAAACTCTTCCAAAGAATAGAGAAGGAAGGAATATTCCCTAATTTATTCTATGAAGCAAAGACAACCCTGATACCCAAACCAGAAAAGACACCCCAAGAAAAGAAAACTACAGGCCAATGTCTCTTATGAATATAGATGTAAAAATTCTCAACAAAAGACTAGTGAGCAGAATCCAACAGTGTATTAAAATAGTCATACACCATGACCAAGTGAGATTTATTCCAGGAATGCAGTGACCATTTAACATTAGAAAATCAATCAACATAATATACCACATCAATAGAAAAAAGAAAAAGAGCCACATAATCATCTATGGATGCAGGAAAAGCATTCGATAAAATCCAACACCCTTTCTCTGAAAGCCCTAAGAAAGATTGGAATAGAAGGGAAATTCCTCCATATGACTCAAGGCATATATGAAAAGCCAACAACCAACATTACACTTCATGGAGAAAGACTGAGAGTCTTCCCCTTAAAACTGGGAGCAAGACAAGAGTGCCTGCTCTCACCACTTCTATTCCATATTGTATAAGACGTCTTAGCCAGAGCAATAAGACAAGAAAAAGAAATAAAAGGTATCCAGATTGGAAAAGAAGAAGTAAAATTATCTCATTTTCAGATAATGTATCCTTTATATACAAAATCCCAAGGAGTCTACAAGAAAACCTCTGAGTTAATAGAGGAATTATGCAAAGTTTCAGGATACAAGGTCAACAAACAAAAATCAATGGGTTTCAGAGGCGGGGCCAAGAAGATGGAGTACTCAGATGCTTCTTGTGGTCACTCTTACAGCAGAGACCCCCCAAAAAAGTGAATCAATTATATATGACAATCTAGGAGCCCTGAACATCAAAGGCAAAGTTGAGGAATCTGACTGAGTGGCAGAGGGAGGGAGAGACGGTTAAGAAGCAGCGAGGAGTTGCCAGACCTGACCTGGTGGGAACCAGTACCCTGCAGCTGGCGCATGCAGTGAGGCAAGCAGTGGAGCTTGGGATGTGTTTTCAACATCAGGAGAGACCGATCAGCAGGAAGTCTACTGAAGCCTCCAGAACCAGTGAAAAGCAGTGCTCAATTGGCAAAATATAAGTACATGCATCTAACCTACCAAGTGAAGCCAAAAACACCTGCTTTGGGAAAAACCTCTCTCCCATTAACCTGCCCCCTCCCCACTCTGCATCAGGTCTCAGGCCAGCTTCAGCCATTGCTGAATCCCCTGGCCCATAAGTAAGGACCTGTCATGTGCCTTGAGCCATTCTCCCAGCCTTGGAGAGGGAACACATTAACAAACAGGAATAAATAATCTTCCAGCTCCCGTAAGCTGGGAATTTTGTGTAGGCAGAGCTTATTTGCCTAGGCACAGGCATAAGGTGTCCATGGACTTTGAATGCCTTTCACTCCTGCATAGACTTGTGTGGGCCCATTTCAACAGTGTAGGCCCTGATTAGCACAGTACAACAGGGTATATACCTGAAGCCTAACTTCAACTGTCAGCTGTATGGTGGAGTGGCAGGTTCGTGACATTTGACACCACTCTGCTCATTAAGAAGGGTCCTCACCTATCACATCAGGGGCCTGAGGACTGGTGGCTCCCCCCATGCCACCTCGCTACCTGTGACAGGGGTCCAAGAATAATTGGTGCCTCCCAGTCCTTACAGCCAACAGCATTGGGTGCCCATAGTCCGGCTGCAAAACCCACCCACAACATGCTCTAGGGAACAGGGATACACTTTCCTTCCAGACACACAGGGGCAGCCATCAGCCCCCTGCCTTGCTCAGCATGTGACCCCCTACTGCAGCCAGATACCTGTGCTTACACCAATGATCCCTGCCTGTCTAGGACTGTAGGTGAGAGCCTGCACCACACACTTGGTGACCGACTACCTGGACACCTGAGCTGAATCCATACAAGAAAAGTAAACGGACTTCTGGGCTCACATACCTAGTA